TAGTCTATTGTGTGCATTGTTCAGTGATTGCAACTCACACACACAACCAAATATCACAACACAGCCGCGAGCACAGCTCACCGGTCGTACACGAGGGTCGCTAGATACTCAGACTGTAGGGATTGAACTCAGCCGATATGACTAGAGGGCGATGCTTTTCCACGACGACAACTGTAGCAGCAGCAAACGCATGATGCGTGGAATTCGATACCAGTCACCAACACCTACAGTGGAGGCTTACATTTAACTGATCAAAGGGTGGTTGCTCGCTTAGGCATAGGTGTTGAGCTGTTTCACTAAATGATTTGAACGCATGGAACTGTGCGTGAATGAAAGCCGGTAAAGTATTCTTCGTGTACCCCAAGTTTAGGGGTTCGAACCCTATCACCACCCCACTTTGCCATTATACGGGATTTGGATTTGCACAAACTGTGTAAGATTATATATTTTTATTTAACTTACGAATGTAACTGGTCGTCAAGCGTAAAAAATACACAATTTCATACAGTACACAAAGCGAAGAATGTCGCTCAAGTTCGTTACATCTACACAAATTCTGACAATTCACTTGCGACCTGTTTTTCATTGGTTAGGAGTCATACCAGGCAGAGTACAGGGGAATTCTCATAAATGTTAGTACGAGAGGACAGATGCCGAAAAGAGGTCCGTGTAGACATATGGGAACGGTATGACAATAGATCGAGATGCGTTTGAGGATCGCATAGAATCTTATTGGCGAATTCAATACAGGAGTTGGTGTGACCATTATTGAGTTCCGTAATTATTTACTCGATTAGGATCAATGATGCACGACTGGTTATCATCAAAACGCGACGAATCGTTTTGAAGTTATGGTTTAAAAGGCTGCGAAACACTACAGAGAAGCAATACAGTAGAATGGGTAAAACGCATCGCTGAACGAAAGAAGACAAGGTTGACTGACTTTGGGGCTTTTGTCCGACACATAAGAACACCTTACCCCATGGAGTCTTAGGTGACACGTCCCACAACTATGTGTTTTTGCTGGTTACCATAGGCAAATAGTATGCCCTCGTGACTATGAAGTTTCCTTGTCCACCTCTCCTCAAATAGTACGTGTAATTGAAAAAGAACTTTACCCTAAATATACTATTGCCGGATTCAACTCAATTCTATTGACGAATAAAAGTCTTACATCAGGATCAGGGTAAAGTGTCCGATTTGGTGATAGAACATCACGATTCAAAACATTTAGTCTATAACAATGAAAGCAATCGAATCATACGGCGAGAGTGGCGTAGCACATTAGTTAGACGGTAAACGGAAAATGGAAACGATCTAATACAAAATGCAATCTGTATAGACTGACGAAGCACATCCTTTAGCAACACAGGGTGGGTGCATGCACCACTTTGAGCACGCAACGGAACAACTTCAAAACCTATCGACCAGACAGACTGCTTACTTTGCCGTACAACCATGGATGATCCAGGAGCTCGGTATCGGTCAAATGTTTCTCAAAAAATCCATATACAGTGTAAACCACTGATGTCATTGTGAGATTGTAGATCACAAAGTACAACGTGTCGTACCACGTGATCGCTGAGAATCCCGCTGAAATAATAGTCCACAATTGGACGGTGAGGAAAAGAGTGCATTTGTTGTAGAAAAACAGCATGGTGTGTGTTAGGCGATACTGGGACCAGTGCCCGTGAACCAGTAACAGTCGTTTCAGGTAGCTGTGAACAAGAAGCATGAGATAGAAAAGAAGTGAGCATGTGTACACCAAAAGTTTCTCTGAATAGCAATGCAAAGTGGAAGTGTAATATTTCATTGATTCCCATTTAATTGGCAGATATTTGTGAGCAGTCGTGTGGAACCGATCATCCTTCACGCTCCATCTGCATGCATAAACCTCAAATCATCCGGACAACCATACAAATATATACATATATTTCACCCAACGTTTGATGTCAGACTGTTTGCCAAACAAATCAAGGTACAATAATCTTTATAAAAGAAAAACGTTCTATGATTTGTATGTGGATGAAATACTGTCAGGTTTCCCAGGTCAAGACAGGTGAATTTTTTGGGGGAATGCACAACAGAAGTCTTCGGCTAACCAAAGGCTGACCCGAAAGGCAACGAGGTGTTGTGTGAAAACCGCACTCCGGTGGGGGCCGGTATCCAGTTCATCGGATCACACACCGTTTAAACGGGGCCAAACGT